TTATGCACCAAGCCAGGGGCACATATTTAGGCTGGATGGTCAGAGACACTTGAGAAAAGGACACTCAAGCCAGGAAGGACGGCAGCTGCTGGGAAGGCCAAGGCCTCGGTGTAGACAAGTGCTGCAAATGTGGCTGCTGCAGGGCTGTTGGGACAGGTTGGCTGATAGTTAGCACACGCTTTCGAGTTGTTGGCTCCTCTTGTCTGCCTGAGATCACTGGGGTTCCACCAAGTGCTTCTGTGGCTAGGAACCCCATGATTTTGAACTGATCATCTCTCCCAGGCAAGTCACATCCCAAAGGAAGCTGTGCAATTTAAAAATACGAAAATAAGGCACCCAGAATGGGGAAGACTGTGTACAGGGGCCTGTGAGATGCAGAGATGGGGACCATGAGCAGCATTGGAAGACTTGGTTACCCCAGACTTCCATCCCTCTCGATCTCCTCACACAGTTCCTCCCATCTTCCCTGACAGACAGTTATGTATTTCTTTTTTTTTTTTTTCTAGAACAGCTTCCTATTTATGTGCAAGAAAAGGTGTCACCTACTCAAGGTGCAGCACCCAGGACTTTCCATGATAGCAAGCACATCAAGTCATGGAAGTCATGCATGATTTTCATTGTCACCCTGTTGGTTAGTCCTTAGATGGAAGGGACCATGTCTTGATTATTCATTGTCTGGCACTAAATGGGTTCCCACAAAACTGTCATTGAAGAGATGGGTGGATGAGAGGAAGGTAGATGTATAACGAATAGACTGATATTTGGATAGAAGGAAGATGAGAGAGGGGATGGGAGGCAAAAGAAGAAAGAAAGGAAGGAAGGAAAAAAGGAAGGAAGGGTGAATAGGGTGCAGTTGGATGGACAGACTGATAGGTGGCAGAAAGATGACAGATAAGTGGATATATGGGTGGATGGGATTGTGTATGAGTGGATGGGTAGATGGATGTATGGAAGGATGGATTGACTGATAAGAGGGTAGAAAGATTATGGGTAGAGGGATATGTGGGTGGGTGGATGGGTGAGTAGATGGGTAGATGAATTAAGTGGAGGGAAGCAAAGAAAGAGAGATGATGTGTGGGTGGGCAAATGGATGGATGGATAGATGGAGGGCTAGGTAGGCAGAGGGAAGAAAGTGAGATAGATGGCAAGTGGGCAGATGGGTGAGGCATTGGATGGATAGGGTTCAAAATCAGTTCATCCTAACCCATAGTCTTTAATATCAATAGAAGCCCGTTAACTTGTGCCTGCTATTGTGATCACGGAGATAATTGCTGCTAACCATTCTCTTGGCTTGTGCTGTCACAGAAGTAATTATCAGTGCCTGTAAGCCATGCCATGGGTATCAAGGGATGGAGAGAAAACAGCACCTCAGGTTTAAAAGCCCCTTGTGGTTTGCAAGCCACTTTGTTTCCCACATGGTGCTTGGTTTAGGCCTCATGAGAAGTCCTTGAAGGAGCATCCCAAGGCAAGGTCCTGGAGCTCCCAGAATAAGCGAGTCTCTGTACCCGTGCTGCCCAGGTTCAAATTCCAGGTCCACTGCTGCCAACCCACATGAGCCTGGGTAATTTAGTCACTTCCTCTGCCTCAGTTCCACATATGTTCTGTGATGCCATCCAGCTCTCAAGTGGTTGTACTAATTAATAATCACTTCCTCGTGCTTCCTGTGCACTGGGATTGGTCCTCAGTATGTCACATGCAATAACTCACCAAGGCAGAGGAGTGCTTATGAGAGAGATGCTCTCACGCCCTTACCTCATTTGTAAGATGATGAAATTAAATTTAGTTTGCTTCCATTCTTCTGGGAGGTGAAAAAGACACCATCTAAGCCTATGCATGGAAGTTTCCAGAGCCACTGCTCTTTAGACTTTATCTCTGAGATGATAGATTTTATCCCTGTAACATACTAAGGCGCCTAGCACCCAGTGAGTACCCAATAAATGCCTTTCCATATGCCAACAGTGTGATAGTACATGCACATCACAGAAGAGCTTGGTCCTACCACACTCTTTCTGCCACTAAGCATCAGGCTAAGAAATTGCAAAGATGCACCTGCCTCTGCCTCTGCCTTTTCCTACCCACACTGTTGCCGGGCACTGAGGACCAAGAGACCTTCCTGGTTGTAAACAAAAGTGACTCCTTATTCTCGAGAAAGCCAAAGCTGCTCTAGAAGTTTTCTAGTCAGCCCCTTCCTCTAGCAAGAGGTCCACCTACCCTGAGCTCAGACCCACCTTACATCTCCAGACATCAACAGGGGCCCAAGGTGCTCCACCTCATTTGATCTTCATCTTGCCTACACATCACTCTGTATTATTCAGCCATCATCTTCTCCAGCTGTTTGGGTTTTTTCCCCCTCTATCTTTCTCTCTTATTTTCTTGGACTTCCGCAAGATGCAGTCTGCAGTAGGAAGTGTGCTGCTCAGCACACCCAGCCCTGTGTCCCCTCTATGTGGGGCCCAGGCCTCCTCCAACTTTGTGCTCTGAGAGAGCTCCCCATACCTCTTACAGCTGCTGTATGCTGGGCGCAGGATCCTGCTGAGGACCTGCAGTCTCTTGTAGCCATGGGAAGAATGGTGAGGCCAAGTCAGGTTCGAGCACTTTCCAAAGAGGCCTTGTTCCCTAGAACAGATCCACCCAGGCCCTTCCTATGGGGCGGTGGCCTACAATCCAAAGCTTAAAAATTCCCTAACATCTCCCCTGCTTTGTGACCATGGATAAATTTCTTCACTCCCATGGGGCTCGTTCTTTTTGTCAGTAAAATGGGCTTAATTATAATATCCACCTAATGGGGTTGTAAAGACCCAATGGGAAGCAGGGCATGGTAGGGCATGCCTGTGCTGCCTGTCTCTGGATAACAAAGACCAGAGGACCAGGAGTTCAAGGTCACTGGATGACAGCCTGAAAGAGATACTGCCTCAAAAAGGAAAAAAAAAAAAAAAAAAACAAAAAAAACAAAAAAAAAAAACCTCATTGAAACATTACTTGCTCTTTATTTCATTCATTTACCCGTAGTTATTTACAGGGTGAATACTGAGATACCGTTTTAGTCAGAGCAACGCATTATGTACACTGCCCGCATCCTTGGAACTTAGCTCCTAGCAGATGATACTGTATGAAGTGTGTGTGTGTGTTTGTGTGTGTGTGTGTGTGTGTTACTAGGTAAGCTGCTGACCTGCATGTATGACACTCATACGTACTACTACATGTTCAGAGATCTCTTCGCATGTTATCTGATGTATGTATGGTATGTGTTTAAGAAATAGAGGAGAAAGGCCTTGTGTGGTGGTACCTACATGTAAGCCCAGCACTTGGGAGGTATAGGCAGGAGGCTCCTGAGTTCATGGTCAAGGTCATCCTCTGCTACATAGCAAGTCTGAGTCTATTCTGAGGTGAGTCAGACCTCATGAGCTCTGGGGATGTGGCCACCTCTGCATTGGAGGGAAGTCCAGGCACACACTATTTCTGGTGCCCAGGCCTCCTCTTGGGGCATCATCTCTCCACCATGCTCTGCTGCATGGGATAACTGTTGGTCCCAATGTATATAAGCCATGGTGTGCTTCCAATCCCTGCATTCAGAAGTGTCTCCTAGGGCATGGCACAGGATACCTCAGCCAGCACACAGGAGAACCCCCCCATGAACTCTGCCGGGGTTTCCTGCCAGTGTTTGCCTGCACAGTCTATCCCGCCCAGCACATCTGAGAGAATTTCCCCGGGGGGCGGGGGGTGGGAGGACATCATCCCCACTGGGCTCCTCCACCCTCTTGCTCCCTTTGGCTCTGCTCAAGCTCCCTTCGCCCTCTGAGGTTCCCCACTGAGAAAATGAAGCACACCAACCTGATACCGACCAGTGCCCCTAAAATGTGGGGAAGAGGCCTGTGAAGAGAACGATCAGAGCGGTGGAGGATAGAGTGCTGCTCCAGCCTGCCTTCCTTCCTCCTTTTATCCCCTGCTCCTCACTGCCCACTCACTGCTTGGCTGTGGCTAATGGGAGGGGCTGGATCCCGGTGCCAGGCTCAACTGAGCTCAGCAGGGGCCCTTTGTCACCCAACGCTTGCCGGGGCCTCGGCTGTTGGTGTTGGGTGTCCTGGCAGATTGGATTCTCTCCCTGGCAGCCCACAGCCACTGCACTCCTGCCCGGGTGGCCTGGACAAACAGGGAGAAGTTGACTCCTTCCTCCTCCTCGCTTCCAGAGGGACCCTGTGGACTGCTGTCTGCTGTCCTTGGTGCTGACCGGTGGGGGCTCCAGGTGAGGGCTCCTTGGAACCCAGCTCTTTCCTGAAACCAAAGCTCTGGGCTCAAGGACAACCTCATGAAGACCTGTGGTGGCTCCTCCGTCGCCAGTCTGAGTGCACGGAGGATTGGGGGAGGGGGGCTGTGGGTAGAGATGGGGCCGGAGAGAGAGAGTGTTGTAGGGAAGGTGTCAGGGCTGTGTGGGGAGAGGAGTTGCGTCCCAGACTGCGTGGACAAAGAGCATGTGTAAACACAGAGGGCCAGTCAGAGAAAGGGAAATGAGGTCTGCTGTGTGTCTATTAGGGGACATTCCGTTATATGCCTAGAGATGTGGCAGTGTGTGACAGCATGCACAGAAAGCTGTCTCCATCAGGGTGACGTGAAATGGATCCCTGTGCTGGGACATATGTGACAGTGGGATGGGACAAAGAGAGCAGTTGGTGTGTCTCGTCACATCTGGGCTGTATTTGGCAAGAGGGCATTTGTACCCCAGGTGTGTGGGGGAAGCCAGTGTGTCATTGGGGTTAAGCTATGTCCTGAAGCATTCCCAGGTTATAGCTTAGGACTGGAGTAACATGTTAGCCAATGGATTGACAGTATGCCAGTGTGTTGAGGGGATGTTGACCCAGACATGCGTGGTAGACTACACGAGTGAGTGGCCAATGATTCCTGAGGGTGGCATGATGACATCCGTTCCTTGATCCTCCTAAGCACCTGCCCCATGGGACCTCGATGTCTGACTCTCATCGATCACTCTGTGATTGTCTCCACAGGAGCTGTCCCGACCATGTAGATGCCAGCCCCAGGGATCAACATGGACCCCACTGAATGGAGACTCCTGGGTCAACAGCCCTGAGGCTTTCCGGCCCCTGGACCTCACCCCACTCCTGGGGACACTCCTCAGAGCTCTCCAGTGCTGTTGCCAGCCCACCTCAGCCATCACCTCCTCCTGGGACTCAGAGTAGGCCGCCTCAAGCTACTACCCTCTGGTGAGGGTATACTGAGGACAGCCGCACGCAGCCATCACCCAGAAGGCCCTTTTCCAGTGCTGACCCTCAGGCCCAGCCTGAGCAGAGACTTCAGCAAACATGGGTGATATGACCAACAGCGACTTTTATTCTAAAAACCAAAGAAACGAGTCGAGCCATGGGGGCGAGTTCGGGTGTACCATGGAGGAGCTACGCTCCCTCATGGAGCTTCGGGGCACAGAGGCTGTGGTCAAGATCAAGGAGACATACGGGGATACTGAAGCCATCTGCCGGCGCCTCAAAACCTCGCCTGTTGAAGGTAGGTATGGGAGGCTTAGGCCTGGGCTGCTGCGGAGCTGGCTCCAGGGCCTGTGTCCACAAAGCCTAACAGTGGGGATGAAACACTGATGCCTTCAGATCCCAGCTGTGTTCTAGCAAGGAGGTTGAACCTCACCAGTCATGTCTGACCCATGCCACTTGTGGAGAAAATGTCAGTAAGACTGTTGGGTGAGGGCTGTACTCTGGAAAGAGTATGACAAGTCAGCCTGAAGGGGTGGTCACTATCACCTCTGTGAGAACAAGAGGCATCTGGCTTTGAGGCAGGACAGTTGAATGACTGGAAGGGACTCAAAGAGAAGCCATGTCTGGCTCTCCTGTATCCAAACATAGGATGGGTCCCACACTCTGATTGTAGCTCAGAATCCAACCTCCTACCCACATTTGTCTACCATGAGCAAACCTCAGAAGTGCCCTCCTGATGGCTGGCTTGGATATGGACCCACAACACTGAAGACAGGCAGCTAATTCCAGTTGTCACAGCGTGGTCCACCTCCAGGTTGCCGTGGCAGTGTCACAAAGCCAGGCTCTGGATAAAGACTGCTGGGACTCTGGAGGGGAATGGGCTGGGGAGCCAATTACAGGCTCTGATGGACAAGATGGTGGTGTCCTCGTAGGCTCTGCCCTGGAGAGTAGAATGAGGATGTCTTACAACTTCACAAGGTAAACAGGCCCGGGGCTTCCAGTGAGCAGCACTCTCTTGCTGCCTTTCCAGAAGCAGAGATGGGCATTCTCCAAGAGGCGGAGTAAAGAGAACCCAGCCTTGCTGGGGTTCTATTTCTACTCTGTCCGCTGCTAGCTACTCACTGTGGCCATTTGGGAAGCCTTCCCTATACAAAGCCAGAGGCGCAGGTGGGTGAGCTCTACCCTGACTCTCCCAGGCCTGTGACATACATAGAACAATGGCTACCCTGAGCCTGGGCCTCTTTCCTCTGGAATATGAAGCCAACGCTTCCTGTGCAAGAGCTTGCTGCACGCTCGGGCATGCAGTAGGCACTCAGTGATTGGCAAGTGTGGTTTTTGTAAGTGGATAGCGGTTACTCCCTCAAGTAAAGATTGCAGTCTGGGATATGGGTGGCAGCTAGGTTTGGAGAAAGATGTCCCTCCCGCAACGCCCTGTGTTCATAGCTGGACACTGCTAGACACCAGCTCTGGCCCACTGGTGCTGAGGCTGCTTTGTGGAGCTTATGAGGCCCTTGGGACCCAGCCACATAAGCTGATGGTCGCATATTAGTACCCGCTGTTTCCCAGTGTCTGTTGGGCGTCTGTGCTCTTTCCTCTTGGGTGAAGCTGAGAAAGCCTGTCCCTCCCCCTCCTGCCTGCCCTCCCTGATACCTTGCCTATAGGCTGAGCTAGAACTCTGATTCGGTGGGGAGAGGAGGCATAAAGGAGGTATCTGTTCTGACTCTGGACCTGAAAACATCCATGTGGGGCTCTAAGAATATTGGGAATTCTGCTTGGGGATCCTGCACCGAACCCCTATGTTCCTACCAGTCAATTTCTGGCACAAGGGACCATGTTCGCCTGCCACCTGGCTGGTACCTGGCCTGCCAGGAGACAAAGATGCCTGAGTGGCCTTTGCCTTTGAATGGAAGACCATTCAATGTCTCTGGGTCCTAGTTCTAGGGAGAAGCTAGTGGAGGCGGTGACCATCTCCACAGGCAAAGAGCAGACTGTTGAAAACAGATGTGGCTCACTGCTTTGGGGTCTCTAAGAGCTGTGGATCCCAGATTAACGACCCCACCTCCACTAGCCAAGCTCTCTGGACTCCAGCGTGTGGGGCCATGCATTACCTAACTCTAGCACTAAACAGAACCATTTTCATACAGTCGTCTGCTCTGTACTGCTGGAGGGGTCTGGGGAGCAAGTGTGAACCTGAGGATAAGAACTCTGCCTCCTTCCTGTGTAAACCCAGCCCCCAGCCTGGTTGCCTGCCACCAAAGAAGGCTGACTAGCTGTCCAGTGACACTCTGAGAGCCCTCCAGCAGCTGGGCGTCCACACAGCAGGTACTGGGAGTGAGCTCAGGGACAGCTGGTGTGCCCAGGAGTGGTGAGGCAGGTGGACAGGGAGGATCTAGAAGGCTCCCTGGAAGAGATGTTTGGACTTTGGCTATGGAGGAGACAGGAACGTGTGTGATCATGACACAGAATGCTGCTTCTTGCAAAAGTCCATACACATGGGACATGGTAAGAAGTTAGAAGCTAGGTATAAATGACAGAATGGTTTTTCCTCTGTCTGTTGCTCAGCCAGCCCTGTGCTTCTGGGCTTTTGTCCTCTCTGAGCTTTGCTTCCCTAGATCTGAGGTTTCTAAGAAGAAAGATCTCTATGGAGGGAAAGCCATCACTGGATTAACCAATCCTGCTATATTGGTTTCTAGAAAGTTCTTTCAGGGCGGCAGGAGAGATGGAAACATAGGGGAGAGCAAAGGGGCAAACTGCTGCAGATCTCCAGATGTGAAGGACCTGGGTTTAAATCCCAGCTCTGCCACTCTCCAGCTAAGGAACTCTGGGCATGTTATTCAGCCTCTATGTGCCTCCATGGTCTCCATGGAGCTAATGATTGCAGTGACCTTCTAGGCTTATGAGGACAATGTGAAGCAGCTCAGAGGACCTGACAGTCCAGTCCCAAGACAGAACGTTGCCACTTCCCATTGAATACAGTTGTTGTTATGCATACTGAGTGACTCAAACCAAGTATCCAGAATCTAGGTACCCAGCAGCAATGGCTTTTGTTGTTATTGGCGTTATGGAAGAAGCAGTCGTGTTCTCCTAACAGAGTGATGTATGATTATCCGGATCCGTAGCTGGTGTTCTGCAGACATGTGGAGGCCACCACTACTGTTAAATGAGTACAGTATCACACCCAGGGACACTCCCCGGTAGGCCAAGCCTAAGTATGGCTGAGCTCCTGTAACACTTTTCCCCCTGCTGTCTCAGGTTCGGTGTCTACCCTGCTGTATTTGACCTTCTGGTTTTCAAACAGTGCTTAACTCCGAGCCCCCACCTCTCCTTCAGAAGTCACATGGTCTGGGCTGTGCCTGCTCCAGATGGAGAACCATACTGGCCGTTCTGGCAACCTGTGCCATTCAGATGCTACGGAGATCAGAGAGCTGGAGCAGGAAACTGACCCAGCCCTGTTTATGGCAGCCTCCACTTCAGCCAGCTGAATTTAGGGAGAAATCTCTCTGAGTGATAGATGGAACCTGAGGCTTCCAGCAGTGTGACTCTGCCCGCAGCACTTTGTGGACCCGGCTCCTGTTTGTCAGCAGTCCCGGCTTATCTACGCAGAGGTCTGACTTTAGAGACATCCCATGAGGCCAGTGCATCTGTGCCCCTCTGCACTCAGTTCCATGTCTACTGTTGGACAATGCCCTTCCCCACTCACTGCTGATAATTCTCCTTACATGCTCTTCCAGCCTGGGATGGTAGGGTTTCATCTGTGGCTTTCTCTTCAAGAAAGCATGGTTTTCTCTTAAAGCCAAGAGAGCTCTGTGAAACTTCCAGGGCCTCTGACACCTTATCTGTGCGTAGGGAAAACAGCAGCACCTGGTGGCCACTTGATTCCATAATCCATTGATACAGCCCAGGTAATGCAGGTCACCTTTGCTGCCACCATTCTGAGTGCTTTTAAAAGCGGTCCAATGCCCCTGGCCCTGTGAAGGAGTTAGGGGAACAGATAAGATGGTCCCCAGTGAGGATTGTATGTGCTCTCTAAGGAGGTGGAAAGTGCGGGGGAGGAGGACCAGTGTTGGAGGTCCAGGCCTAGGGCAGAAGCTTGCATTGTTTTCTGGGGTGACCCTGTGGAAACACATAAGCAGTTATCTAGAATGAGAAGCAGGAGTGAGGAAGAGGCAAGCATGCCTGGTACCCCTCCCTGCGGGGGATGGAGCTGGGGCCCCGAGGGTAAGGACATGGAACACCCATGAGACAGGTAGCTCTGGTTCCCCATGCCCAGCATGGCCCTGAGCCACATGAGGCTCTGTGGCCTTACCCTTCCTTCCCTGACCCCACAGGAAGGGTGCCTGGGACAGGTCCCTGTCAGGCGTTTATCACTGAGTGTCTCACGGTGGGGGAAACAAGGTTGACAAAAGGGCCAGGACAGCGCTGGGAACCTGATACCATGCCGGCTGCGTTGTAAAGGGGAGCCTGTGGTTAATTTTAGATGACTCCCAAGCCAGCCTACACCATGGGGCAAGAGGCAGAGGATGGGGAACAGTTTGTGGGAGATGGGGTACGCCTTGTGTGTAGGAACTGTGATGGAAAATGGCTCTTGTGTTCTCCAGGGATCTGCCATAGCCTGGGGACCCAGAAGGTGTAGGGTAGTGAGTGAAGCCTTCTATTTTTCTGTCTTCATGTGCTGTGTCTTCCTGTGGAATACTGGGCCCCTGAAGGGTCACCTGGGAAACTAAGGCATCAGAGAGGTAGCAGTGTCCCAGGCAAGGTGAGACGGGGCTACTGGAATGCAGATTCCACATGGAGACACCTCCAAGGACTGGAGACAAGGGAATAGGCTTGCCTGTTCCCTAGAGTCTTTCTAGAAGGATTTATAGTCCTTTGTAGGGCTCTTAACCCTGTACGGTATAACTCAGAAGAGCAGGACTCACACAGCTATTCCCAAGTTGAGCAATTCAGCCACCTTCTCAGATAAATGAGGAGCAAAGAGAAAAGACTGAAAGGACACCAGTCCCCACCTGACCCGCCTGCTTAGGGGGCTTAAGAGCTTTGAAGTTTTGGTTTTCTTTTGTGAAATGCTGTTTCCTCTGCCTCAGGGAGACCGTGACTCAAAACAGCTTTAAAAATCTTCGTTTGGGGCTGGAGGTGTGGGTCAGTGGGTAGAGTGCTCACCTGACCAGCACAAGGCCTGAGTTCCATTCCCGGCACCACATAAACCAGGCATGACTCATTAGGTGGAGACAGGAGAAGTTCAAAGTCGTCCTTAGCTACACAGGGAGTCCAAGGCCAGCCTGGGCTACATGAAACAAT